GTTGCTGGGACTACCATCCACTGTGTACCCAGAGGACCTGTGGATTCCAGAGATACCAAACCCCAGGGAAATAGGAAGTAGCCCGGGGCAGCCCATGACTGTCTGGCTATGTGGCTGACTGCTTCTAGGTCAGTGTGTTGCAGCTGGATCCCTGCTGACCCACTGGTGGACCACTCTTCCCTGGGATGGGAAGTGGTGGAGTCGGGTGGGCCTGCATCCCCCTACCCCTGACACCCCACCACTGGGGTAGCCAACTCCCCACCATAGGCCAGGAGGCCTGTGTCAATCTTCCCCCAGCGTGGTGCTTTCCTGACCCTCTCCCTCCCTCTGTCACTGATCAGCTGATCGCCCTTGCGAGGGGGAGCGGGAGCGGAGCCGAGCCGCAGCGTGCTCGCTGCTCCAGGGAGAAGGCAGAGAAGAGGTGGGAATGGGGCATATCCCCCCAGCCCCCTGCCATGAGCACCCCCACGAGCTGAGCACCCCAGCCCTCTGCCCTGATCCCTGCACCCCCTCCACACACCCAACCCTCTGCCCTGACCCCTGCACCCCCTCACACACCTCCAGCCGCAGTTCTGACTCCTGCACCCCTCACACATACCCAGCCCCCCCACATCCCATGCCCTGACTCTTGCACCACCTCACATCTCCACCCCCACCCTAAGCACCAAACGGGAGCTCCTGCACCACCGCCCCCCACATTCCCACCTGCACCCCCGGTCTGGGGGTCCCGGCTGCCGGCCCCTTGCCAGCCGGGGTCCCGCAGGCCCCGCTCAGCCCGCTGCCAAAGTACGTGAACAGAACCCCAGACCAGCAGCGGGCTGAGTGGGCCGGTGGCGTAAGATCAGCTTTTTAATTTAATTTTAAATTAAGCTTCTTAAACATTTTGAAAACCTTGTTTACTTTACATACAACAATAGTTTAGTTATATAATATAGACTTGTAGAGCGAGACCTTCTAAAAACCATTAAATGTATTACTGGCACGTGAAACCTTAAGTTAAAGTGAATAAGTGAAGACTCGGCACACCGCTTCTGAAAGGTTGCTGACCCCTGGGCTAGAGCCTGCCTCCTGCTCTGCCCATCCAACGGGCTAGAGCTTCAGACTGTGTGTGTTTGCTGGCTGCCTTGGCCCACAAGCTGAGGCTAAAGCTCTGCCCCACCCAAAGGGCTAGAGCCCCAGACTGTCTGTGTGTTAGCTGGCTGTCTTGGCCAGGAGGCTTAGGCTACAGCCTGCTCTCTGCTTGGCCCTGCCCAAAGGACTAGAGCTCCAAACTGTTAAGTACTGACCGCAGCTGAGAGGCTGTGAGCTAGACTCCTCCGTGTTTTGCTGCGCCCAAGGGTGGGAACATGAGCACCCGACTATTATTTCTTGTTTGCCTCTGTTAGATGGGCCCAGACCTATAGACCACTTACAACTCAGCCCCGCCAGTGCAACCCGAGGGTTACCGCCCAATACAAGAGGCAGAGTGGCCTCCCTCCCCACTAGTAAATTGAAGATAATTGAAATCAATGGTGCAGAACCAATGCAAGTGAAAGGTGAATCAAGCCAAATGCTGATTTTCTTTGAAAAATATTCCTTGGTATGATTCAAGAAGGGCTCCAAATCATCAAGTGAGGTGTGAAACACCCAATGCAATCTTGCAAGAGTATTTGTCACCCTTGCTCCCAAGGCCATGGCAAAGTCATACAACTGAGCCTTGCTGTTGTGATCTAAATCTCTCTAGGAACCGATACAACTGTGTGTTTTAATTTGTCCAGGAAAAGAGAACAAAAATTATTGTACTACTGATGACTCCTCTAATTTGACTGCCTGAGATTCCAAAAATTATTTTGCAGCCCAGGTAATACCAATCTCTAGACAATAACATAACATAATAAAAGGGCAACCACCAGTATATTTATAGTCTGTTTTTTTTTCTATGGGGCCAGTCCAGCAGCTATATCTGCTGGTAGGGACTACTGATGCGCGTAATAGAGGCAGGACTTGTCCCTGAATTAGGGAAAGCCTACATCGACTGAAAATGCTGCTGTTGCCATGTAACATTGAAACCAGGTGCATAACTCTTGGCAGTAATAGTAATGGTGTCTAATTGCATTTTCAGGTATTTTATTAAGCTGGCCTTTTCAAGTTCATTATTATTAATATTTATGATCAGACAACGTCCCTTCAGGGAATCTGGTGTTGTCCAAATAGCTTACCTTGTTAGGTGAAATTTACAGCAGGATGTGAAATAAGAGAACACTATACAGAACTGATGTTAAAAGCAAGCTTTCTGAAGAGTTCTAATTTGTGTGCTTATAAAAGAGATATCTTCAGCACACGTGAAATTTTTTTCACTGGGATTTAGACTGAGTATTAGTAACACATGACAAAAAACAAAGATCTGAAACCTTAGTCACTGGCACTGAAATATTATTGAGTTAGGGGAATTCCAATTTATGTTTTTGGTGCTTTCTATATGATCTATGAACACACTCAATTCTGTTAGCAAATATGGGACCTTTTAGCCTGCTGTGACTGAATATTTAATACCCTCTTTTACACTACTAAATGCCTTTTAAAATCTTCTGTAGCATAAAGATGCACTGTTTTTGTTTTGGCAAGAGGGGTGACTTGTAAATTCCTACAGATCTGCAGAGGTGACAAATCAGATGACAATCAATTAGATCATGTACTTTTTGTCACTTGTAGGGAGTTTGTGAATCATTCGTTCATCGATTCCTAAAGAAGAATTCTAACAGTGCTTTACTCATGTTAAACCACATCTACCTAACATTCAGAAAGGTTGAGCTGAAAGTACATTTGAAAAACGTGTGAACTGAATATTTCTACATGCAGAATGTAATGTACACTAACTCATTAAGTGCATATCTCATCCAGCTGAATTACACATGCCCACAGCCCACTTTGTAACAAACTACAATATGCAAATATATTGATCAAAGAAGTTCATGCTAAGTGGCAGATAAGCAAAACCTGAAGCGGATAAACAACTGGCTTGCATTATTATTGTAAATGGGACAGATGACTGGCACTAGGTGGTGTCTCAGGAGAGCTTATACATTAGTCAAAAATAAATGTTGAGGCAAAGCCAAGATGTTTACTGTATTTTTAAATTGGGAGAATGATCCGGTGACAGATTTCTATTGCAATTAAAAGAGTTTATTTTTATCATCCCAAATGTGTGACGTTGATATTTTGTCAGATGGATGTTGGAACACTAGAGTGATTGTTGCTCAGAGAAAAGCAGCATTTTGATTAACTCAGAACATGCTAGTTTAGTCCATCAGCCAATGATTATCCATAAAATTAGTCTTTTAAAGAATACTATGGATGTCACTGAAATTATCTTTTTCTCCTGGTTAAATGTTATCAGGATTCTAAATACAATTGGCTTGTAGAGAGTACACTGGTGGTTCTATCACATAAACACCAACTTCACCATAGCCTGAGCAGTCGTAAGTAATACACCTCTACCCTGCTATAACGTGACCAGATATAACACGGGTTCGCATATAGCGCGGTAGCAGTGGGGCTCTGGCGGCGCTTTAAAGGGTCCGGGGCTCCGGCTGCTGCGGGGAGCCCCGGGCCCTTTAAATCATCACTGGAGCCCTGCCACTGCTACCCCGGGGCTGCGGCAGCGGGGCTCGGATGACGATTTAAAGGGCCTGGGCTCCCCGCAGCGGCCGGAGCCCGGAGCTCTTTAAATCACCACTGGAACTCTGCCGCTGCGGCAGTGGGGCTCGCCAGCGATTTAAAGGGCCCGGGGCTCCGGCTGCTGCGGGGAGCCCCGGGCCCTTTAAATCACCGCTGGAGCCCTGCCATCGCTACCCCGATATAACGGCGTTTCACCTATAATGCGGTAGGGATTTTTGGCTCCTCACGACCGCGTTATATCGGGGTAGAGGTGTAGTTTCGTACTGTAATTTTAAAATTACTTTCTCATTCTTTGATTCTGCTTTTCCTTCTATTACTGCCCATCTTTGTTCAGATGAATCTGCTGACAGCAGACTCCATTGAGATTATGGATACTCACACAATTTTTACCTTTGTCTGTTGAAAAACCACAGCTATCCAGTAGCTTTTCTAATAGAAAACAGAAATACAAATGGCAAGATATTTCATTATATATTTATCTTCTGTAATGAGGATGTTGCTAATACTGCATATACTTGCACAGCTTGTAAGGAGCCTTGGTAAAGACTCTACAGTACACTAAGGAACAGAACTCAGCCTGCAGTTTCACTGCAATTGTCACTGGTTACACAGCCAACAGTATACAAGACTTTGCCCTCAGATCTGCATCCATGACTCCCAGGGCTTCTAACATGAGTTGTGATGGGAATGAATTTGTGGGCATTATTTGGACATTTGAAGATTGCATATAATGACTTATAGGCCATTTCTGCAATTAAAGCCCCTTTTCGGCAATTAAGTCTGTGCTTACTTTTGAACATGGGCTTAAGTCTAATTTCAACTGGCCTTAAATCCATGCTTAAATTTAACTTTGAACTTAAGTACACTATTGAATAGGGATGAACTTAACCCCTTCAAGTGCTTTGATAAATTGGGACCCAAACCAAAGTGATCACCAGTTGCTTCAAGAATATCAGATTAAAGTCTGGAAAAGAAATTTACACACACAAAAGAAAGATAAAAGAAGTGAAGAACAAATATTGCCATGTACAAAGCTTTTCTCTATGCACGAGAGTACTGCCGTGTCTGACTGAAGGACATTTTTCATGGCGCTGGAAGGTGTTAAGAGGTGATGCCATCTATGATATTTTTGACAAGTTAGAAAATATTACACAGTAAGGACTAACTTCAGCATTTTGCTGGAGTAATATAATGCAAAAACAATATATTGGATATTAATTTAGTTATTTGTTAACAAAAAAGAAAATTAATCTAAAATAGACAAATAATAAGAATGGGGCTAAATCTCCTCCCTTCAACACTGCTGTGACTGTCAATTTCAGTAGAATTAGTCCAGATGCTAACTAGAGTAAGTGAAAGGAAAGCCAGACACACTGACTTTCACTTGTTACACAGGATATCCCCCAAAATGCCAAAGTATTTTTTTTTTTTTATGAATAAAAGTTAGACATTTGACAATGACTGGTTTGCTGTTAAGAAGCATTAGAACCACAGAACTAGGGAAGTTGATAAATGGAAAACTTAGTTTTGGTACAGTATGGCCATATTTGCCAACATTCACTAATGAACTGTTGTCATTTTAAATAATTTAGAATTAATAATTTTGATGAAAGACTATAGGAAGTAGGGAGTGTTTTCTTGTACAGCACAGAGTACATTAGTAATGTTCAAACATATGCTCTGCTTTATTTTACTTCAGTATGTAAAGATATTGATTTGATATATTTATTTCCATGTAATGGTCCTTTTCATCACAGCCATTCATAGTTTCAACTGTCACCCAGCAAGCAGATATGATACTGTGGCTGTACCATCAATAACCATCCCTTTGGCTTCTATTATTCCCAAGCAACTGGATTCATTTTCTCCCTGGGTCTCTTTAGCTAGGCTTCCTACCACTTATTTTTTCTTCTCCCAATTTCCAGATTGTTCCCACCCCCTGCCCTATGATGAAATATCAGCATTAAAAAAAACTGTTCTTGACCTACTGATGCTGGAAAAGTTTCAACTTTAAAATTAAAGAATCATTAGTAACGTGAAAATCTACAACCACTTTAAGTGTCTGATTTAAAACAAGGGTCTGAACAGGTTTCCAATTTTGGAGAGAACTGCAAGATCTGTGGCAGTGTTGCAAAATATGCTGGAAGAAATGGCTCGCTGTATTCAGTACATGCTGGATCTGAAGGTGGACACATTTGAGTGTTTTATCAAGAGTTCTGATGAGTTTACTTAGAGGCACTATTTTGAATTGCCAGTAAACACAAATTAATAACAGTTTTGCATTAATTCAAGGTGGAAGGGCCATTCTCTTCATCTGGACCTTTCTTCAGCATTAGCTTTAAAATATTTAACTGAAGCTGTTGTGATTCATTTGTTCATTAGAAACTGAAGGGCACTTAAGATAGCATAAGGTGGAAGTAAAATTATTTCTTTAGAATGATCAAAATGCAGAAATTACAGAGACAGAACACAGTCCTCTTTACCCCAATGGAACTGAGATTAGTAACCTATTTAACCCTGTATTCTTGAGTTTATATGGGTACAGTTACAAGTACATACACAAGTTACTAATTTCCATGAAATGTGATTCCTGCTTAAAAAAAAAAAATCTAAACTTGTGATGTAAAGAGAATTCTTTAGTTACAAGAATTAGCCAGAAAATCCATTAACAAAAGTTTTTTAAACATTTTGTTCTATTGTTGCTCTTCTGAGTATTTATCTACACATACAATGTTTGTTTTGCTCAAGCATAAGTTAAAGTACAGCTACAACTGAGAATATTAGCTTGGAAAAGTTTCAGCAATGACAAGTTACATACATTATGTAAGAACTTAGTGGTATGTTTGAAAATAAATATCAATAAAGGATTATTACTTTAAAAAGTACAGCTGCATTGGTGTCTCTAAAAATATTGTTGCGGCAAGTCTATTCACATGGGTTCTGAATAACAATTAGAAGATACTCCTTATCTGTGAAGAGAGACAAGAATATTTTAATCAAAATCATCAAGAAAAAAGAACAATTAAAATATTACAGAAATATTAACATCGGCCCGCGCCGCTTCCCGCCGCCCCCATTGGCCCAGGATGGCAAACTGCGGCCAGTGGGGGCTGCGATCGGCCAAACCTGCCGCATCAGCAGGTAAATAAACTGGCCCGGCCCGCTAGGGTGCTTACCCTGGCGAGCCGCGTGCCGAACGTTGCCGACCCCTGCCTTAAAACATGCTTGACAAAAATGATTTCAGTCTTTTACTATTAATTGTCAACTAATTGCTATCACTTAAAGTAATAGGGTCCGATTCTGCTTATATTGGTTTTACACCAATGTAACTGCATTGTCTTCACTGGAGTTCCTACTAGAAATCATAAGTAACAGTGAGATCAGTGGCATCAGTGCAGCCACTTTGCACTGTGCTGCCGGTGGAATCTGACGACAGAATCAGTATATCTGGCACTGTGAGGATTACCTCAGTGAAAGGGGTATTATGGCGGTACAAGTATAGTGAATCCAATGCCACCTCCCTCCCTACTGACAACATTAGGGGCATGGTTGGGTCTTCTTTATACCCTACACATTCTCAGCTGGTATTTTTACCCATTGGGGTGGTTGGCAGCCAGCATAATATATGCTGGGGTACCAGTCTAGCACACGTCCAGTGTCACAGCACCTTTGCACTCCCCATCTCGGCTGCCTCAATTTGTGGTGTATGCTCCTTGGCCATAGCTAAGGATCTGGCCCCTTATCCATATTAATTAGGGGAAACAACCCAAAGCAAATCCAAAACATTTGTATTTAAGATGAACAAGACAAATACATAGTTTTAGACAAGTTTCTCTTATTGACAAATAAGTAATCCAACCATAATTGTTATATTAATGGTGCTAATACTACCTGTGTGATCAATGACCTACTATATTGTAAAAGAAACCCTCTTATGAACAATGAGAAGCTTGGTACATACTGTACAGTATCAAGTGAAAAATCTGTTCTTAGAAACAACAATAGATGGATGATTATTAGTGGTTCGTTTGGTATTTGTTGTGAAAAAAGTGAACACATTTGCCATGTTTACTAAAAGCTAATTAGCTCCAACGGGAGTGTTGTAAATAAGATACATGAAGTGACTGTCCCATTCTACTCAGCATTGGTGAAGCTTCCACTGTAGTACTGTGTCCAGTTCTGGGTACCGCAGCTTAGGAAAGATGTGAACAAATTGAAGAAAGTCCAGGGGAGAGAAAAAAAAACGATAAATTGTTTAGAAAATCTGACCTATGAGGAAAGGTTAAAAAAATTGGTCATTTTTAGTCTTGAGAAAAGAAGACTGAAGGGAGAACTGATAAGTCTTCAAAATGTGTTAAAGGCTGTTAAAAAGGGAAGAGTGAGCAATATTTATCCATGTCCACTGAAGATAGGACAAGAAGTAATGGGCTTAATTTGCAGCCAGGGAGATTTAGGTTAGCTATTAGGAAAAACTACATAATTATAAGGGTAGTTAAGCTCTGGAATAGGCTTCCAAGGGAGGTTTGGGAATCCCAGTCACTGGAGGTTTTTAAGAACAGATTGGACAAACAGTTGTCAGGGATACTTGGTCCAGCCTAAGTGCAGGAGGCTGGATTTGATGACTTCTTGAGGTCCCTTAGACCTACATTTCTGTGAGATCTGGTCTTATCTTCTTGCTCAAGTCTTGTATACTATAGTCCTTATGCATCAAGATGCTAGTGTAGCTGTCTATGTAGACAAAAGAAGTGAACAATATTATGTGCACCCTATCCAAATGTAAAGAACTTATAGCAAAAGCAAGAAGTTACCTCTTATACTTTTGTTTTCATCTATCATATACATGTTCTACAGTAGCTTTGTGCTTTGAGAAACTTACAGCACACACAAAATTTTAACAATATTTTAGGAATAGAAATCTTAAATTACCTGGGGCTACCATAATTTCATGTTTCTTTGATCTGATCCGAAGAAAGGTTAGATCATTCTGAGGATCTATATCTCTCACTGTGCTCCTCGCTTTCATTGTGAGCTGATGAAGAAGACCTGCATATTGTACTGTTGTAGAGTTATCTAGGGTGGTTCTGATTGGAATTCCTGCAAACAAACAGGCATATTAAAGCAATTTTATTATTAAATTCTTGTATTGTCTGTCATATTAACAAAGTGGCAAACAGAACAAGATAGAAATTTTTCATTATATTTTGGGTTTTATATTGTATAGGAAAAACAATTACATTGCTTAATACTAATACATAAGGCTACGATTTTTTCACGGAGGTCCCAGAAGTCACAGAATCAGTGACTTCCAGCGACCTCCATGAATTCAGCCCCAGCAGCTCGAGGCGGCGGGGAGCTGCGGGGTACCCCTGCTGCCTGGTGGGGGTACCCCAGAGCTCTGAGCTATGTGGGTATCAAGGGGACCCTGGGAGTTCCTGGTTGCTGTGGACAGTGGGGGCCCGCTTGGAGCGGGACCCTGCAGCTGCCCAGCCTTTGTGGGCACAGTGCAGACCCCACATTTGAGCTCCCCATTTGCCATGGCTATTTTTAGTAAAAGTCACAGACAGGTCACTGGCTTCCATTATTTTTTTTATTTTTTTATTGCCCGTGACCTGTCCCTGACTATTACTAAAAATATCTGTGACAAAATATTAGCCTTACTAATACATACAGCCAAATTTCAAAAAGGATCTCTGAACCTGAAGTCAATGGCAGTTAGATGCCTAGAAGCTTTTGAAAAATCTCACTAGGTGTCTGTCTACATCTTTAGACACCTAAATACCTTTAAAAATCTAGCCCATAGTACTTACAAGTTTCATTGGCTCATCTCTTTAAGATTACATTAAATGTTGCTGCTTTTTACATATTTTTACTATGTGTATTTTAAATATAACCATCTAACAATCATTTTAGCCAACTGTATATAATAAGCATTTTACACGTTTAATGATGGAATAGGATTGGAAATTTATAATTTCTGTCAAATACCAAAGGAGACTATTGTAAAATGGTGTATTTGCATTTGGTGAGCATATTGCACCTTCTAGAACTGCTCTTTTAAAATTGCAATACAACATGCTGACAATAGATAGTCCACATTATATGGATCCAAAATATTACGAATGTTTGACAATATATGGATCCAAGCTACTACTAAAAGTCTGACAATGTAACAACATCCATTTTGATGAATTAACTGTAATCTTCTGTCAAATAATAATTTCCATATTGATAGACTATGCAGTCAGAACAAAAGATGTCTTTACAATTATGGTGTAACTGCAAAACTCAAAACTATTAGGGCTTAATATTTTTGCTTCACTTATAAAAAGCTACCTTGCTTTTGGACTGCTTCCAGAGGCATCATGTTACAAGCCCGTGAGACAATACTCCCTATTTATACACTGATGATGGTACAGCTCCTAAATAATGGGTAGAATTTTGCATATCCCAATGCCACAAAACATTTTGACATTGTAAATAATCCAGAAAGGAGCAATTAAAATTTAAGAGGAAGGAGTGATTGATTTATGAGGAAAGATTAAAAATACGAATATTGTAAATCTTGGCTAAAAAAGTATTGAAGGAATATAACAACTTTCAAATATATTTGAAGGGTGATATATGAAGAAAGAAGTGAAAATACAAAAGGGAACAATGGGATGAAAGTGATAAAGTGAACATTGAGGACAAATATTTGGAAGAAGTTCCTAAGAGTTAGATCTTTTAAACTATTTCCTAATCTCTTTAGAAAAGCATTCCTTGAGCAATTTAAACCCAAAATGATCTCAATTTTTGATTATCCTGTTCAAGGAAAATCTTTCACTGCAAGGAGATATAACAGGATGATCGAATAAATATATTCTCTCTCTCATATCTATGAAACCTTAGTATGTTGAAACTGAACTCAGGCAAATTTGTAAGTAGGGATTTAATAAGGACAAAGACAGGTGCTCTCAGGCACTACGTTAGTGAGAGAACATCTGCATAATCACATATTGTGTAGATAGGGCAACAGTCACTTAAAAAGCAGCAATGAATAAAAATATCAAGTTTATATGACCTTGAAACCAAATGACCATTCCAACAAACTCAGCATCTTTAATAAAATCTGTCAGCCTCTAAAGGTGTAAATAAAGTGAAATGTCTGGCCAAAAATAACCTGAAAATGAATGGTTGACATTAGTGACTTCCCTAGATTAAAAGGAACTGATGCTTAGTTTGTGGAACAAACTGGATATTAACAGAGAAACCACCAGGGCAGATAATTTTTAAACTAGTGATCTTATATGTGTGAAAGACAGAATCAATCTGGAAACATTTTTAATTCAAACAATTGAATACAGCTCTATCAGGTGTAACAAACTGTACTCTTTTCTTAAATTAACTCTACTACATAGTATTTTAACAGGATGTTCAATATTATATGCTTGTTTCAAGAATTTTATCACCATTTTATTTACATTGTTAACCACTTTAAAAGGAAGATGAAAACAAGTTTGTTTTGTTTAAAAATAGGCACCTTAATCTCTTTAGAAAAATGTAGACACCTGGCGAAAAGATAAATAAAAATAAAGTGGCTATTGGACCACGAATTCAAATTGGTCTTATACTGACTTCTTTAAAATTAAAATGCAGTTATTTTTCATGCTCCTGGATGGAAAGGAACAGATTTTCAAACAAGTTAGTCACACAAATGTACATTTAATTTGTATGACTAACTTGTTTGAAAATCTGTTCTTTTCCATCCAGGAACATGAAAAATGACTGTATATTTATTTTAAAGAAGTACATTTAATTTGTGTGGGCAAAGTCTCAGGTAACTGTACATGCAAATGGTGATTCTGGATAGTTGGGGAACCAGTTACACAAATCAGGCATGCAGTCATGAACCTGACTTTCTTGAAAGGCAGTGGCCTGGTCACTCTAGCTTTCTCGTATCTTGGATATGCCCACAGTTTAAGAGCAAGTTTGTTACATTTGCCTCCAGTATAATTGGATGCAACATCTCTGAAGTAAATGCACATGTCCTGGGAGATCCTTGACTGACTCTGGCCAGAAAAGATTCTAGAGGGAGGTGAGGAGATGGCAGTTGGAACAGAACACAGGGAGAGCCTCATGCTCATCTATCAGTGCCCCAATGGGTCAAACCAGAGAGATAAAGTATTCTGACCTGCCTGTGCAAGGAAACTGAGACCCAAGAACAGGAAGCTGATGATGATTGTACTCTGTTAATCTTTAAAGATACTACAACCATGATAACCTCTAAACAATGACACAAGAGCCTGCCTAAAAGTGTAGGTGAAGATGAGGTGCATTAGCAGATCTGAGAGAGAAAGCATACTGTACTTGTATTATGTCGATGAAGCTATGCTGAGAAGTGAGCTTTCTTTCATGCAAACAAGATTCACAATATTTAAAAAGACAAAGCAGAAACTTAAATTTCCATAATCTGAATAAAGAAAACATTCTTCCTCTAAAAATTTAAGACAACAAAAATGAGAAAAATATTGTTTGCATAAAGTAGGCAACATTTTAAGCAATACTGCTCTTGAAATTAACAAAGTTTTAAAAATATTGGGGTTATTTTCCTATTCAAATATTATGGATGGATGTTTAATTTGTTTGTCCATAAAAAACTAAAACAATCAATTAATCTGCAAATTCCAAACACTGATCAGTCATACTTCCATCACCATTTAAATGGTTGTTTTTGTCCATAGTTTAAGTGTGCAAGGTAATCAGGGCATAATTGCTCACTGGACCAAATCACATAGTATTATTTCTAAACAGTCGTCCTAAAACCAAATTGTACCATCAAGCTAGTAAACAGTTAATAGAAAGACACAAATATGCACAGGCACAATACAATTGTTCAATTACTGTTAATGTCAGTGCATGCATTTCTCTTTTGACTTGCAACAGCTATTCTGTGACCCGGTGAACCATCTTTGACCTGTCCAGGCATGTAAATTAATTATCAAGATTTACCAACCTCTGAAAGAACACTTCTAATTCCCTCTTGGGTTTTCTCCCTTCTGTTGTTGAACTGCTACTAGGGCAACAGATAGATACTGGGTTTATTTGGATTGTGAAAGTGACAAGGGATTGTCAGAGCATTACAACAGTATATTCAACTATTTAATGCAGTGTTTTTTCTTGGGGGAGGGAGAGACTAGAATAAAAATATTATGGGTCAGAACCTTGGCCCCACAAACAGGCTTAAGTGAACAACTGGGGATTTCTCCAGGAGCACAGGACTGATATATCTGACTACATGCCATGCCCCGCTCATCCCCACTTGCAGCCCTCTACTTAAGGACCAAGTAGCATAACACAGGAGCCACTATTTCCACCAAATCCCTGATAACCCAAGGAGACACTTGAAGACCTCTGAAATGGTTGAAGTTAGAGCAGCCCTGAGGCTGTTGCCCAGCAGGCTAAGCCTAATTTCTGGCTGTGGGATATTTTTCTCTCAATATTTTTGTCTTTTTTGGGGGGAGAAAGTGAGTTTCTAATGTATTTTCTTTTAAAATATTATAATGTGAAATGAGTTGGTATGAAACGGAGGAATGATTCTAAGAGGGGCTGCTTACTGCTCCCTCTTCACCTTCTGAGCTATGCCAAGGGCCAACCATCCAGTACTGTAAGTCTGGCCTTTCAACTCTACATCATATGGTTGAATTTTGCTAACCCACATTTGGCTAAACAGCACACTTTAAAAAGCCCTACAAAAATGGTGGTCTCTGACCAACTCTCAGCAAGACCTAATGGCAGATGCTGTAGCAAGGTCTCAGACTATAAATATTAATATTAAGTTTCTCAGACCTGAAGAAAAGATCTGTGTAAGCTCGAAAGCTTCTCCAATAAAAGCAACTATCTTACCCACCTCATCTCTCTAATATCTTGGGACCAACACAGCAGCAACAACAATGCATATATTAATATTGACTAGCAGACTACAAAGTATTATAAAAATAGAACTACAGTTGACAAAAATAATAAAATGTGATGCATTTTTAACAAGTGCGTCTCCACTTAATTCCTAATTCACAAAATTCTGGAATTTGCGATGTTTCTAACTTTCAGTATCTTGAATTAAAGAAGCTGCAGGATATTAAAAATATAAGATCAGATTTACAGAAGGGCATGCATTTTTGCTGCACAAATCTGGGTTTGCATCAGTTTTGAGAGGGCATTTTTGAAAGTCTAACCTATAATGATTACATTTTTGCAAAATATTGTAAAGTGGTTACATTGTTTAATAACACAGGATATATTGCACTGATTTAAGTGGTTACATCCAGTGCCTCTCTGAAGTTTATTTTGGATTTATAAACTGCAGTATATTTACCTTCTGCATTTACAACAATAGTTCCAATAACCCCTTTGTGTGCCTGAATCCTCTTTAGTGTTTCCTCTACTTCTGCCTATTTAAAAAAAAATGAAATCAGTCAAGTAAAGTAAATTAACAGTATGTAATACAGTTGTGTGCCAGCTCTCTCATCAAAGTGTGTGTGTGTGTGTGGGGGGGGGGGGGGGGGGTACCCCTCCCCTCCCCTCCTTTACACCCCTGGATCCCTACTGAGGGCTGACTAGCTTCTTGGTTTTCCTCCTTGCAGAAAAGTGCTGCGTGCCAAAACAGGAGGATCCGTCCAGCAGCATTTACCCAGGCAGTGACTAGCGCGGAACAGGTAAGCAGCATCCCATTGCAGGTGCCCTTCAGGGGCAATGGCCTCTGTAAGGTGCTCTAGTTTGGCAGAGGGGTCAAAGACCCTCAGTGGGGCTTTCCTCTCCGAAAGGAAGGGGCTCTGGGAGGGCACTCGCCATGGGGAAATGGAGAAAAAAGAAGGCCCAGGACTGTGTAAGAGAGTGTGTTATAGTGACCGCTGTACCCCCAAAGAGCTGCCTAGTGACCCCCCCCCTCAGGGCTCCCCCCAAACTGCTGCTCAGTGCCTCGCAGCCCGGAAACGGCGACTGCTGCCCAGCGCCCCTCATGCCCCGCTCCCACCCCGTTACCATGGCCGGGGACGCGCAGGAGGAGTCACCAGCGTGAGACCTGGACTTCCTCCTCGCAACGGTTGCTATGGGGGCAGGGCCGGAAGCGCTGCTGGGAGCGGAAGTGCGGGGGGAGGGGAGAGGGACTGTCTGCCCCGCGCGAACCCCTCCCCTCCCCGGCTCCCGCCAGACGTCGTCCCCTGGCTCTGTAGCTGCCGGCTCCTGCCGCCGCCCCAGGCCCCGCTCCCCGTGTCCCGGCCCCGCAGCGCGCGGTGCGTGTGACCCCTCCAGTTAGGGTGACCAGATGTCCCAATTTTATAGGGACAGTCCCGATTTTGGGGTCTTTTTCTTATATAGGCTCCTATTACCCCTCCACCCCGTCCCGATTTTTCACATGTGCTGTCTGGTCACCCTACCTCCAGTGACTCGCCCCAGCAGCACCTTGCTCTTTGCTGTGGCCCGGCAGCCGGGGGCGAGCTGCGCTCCCGGTGGTGGGGCCCGAACAGCCCCCTGCGGGCGGAGCAGCCGTCAGCAGCAAACTCTCTTTGTTAAACAAACAAACCCCCCTGGAAATGCAGGTCCTCAAAGAAAAAAACCCAACCCAGACAAAAACCACCCCCACCAAATCCCACCACTGAATGAAACTAACACACCCAACCAACCCTGACAAAAACCACCACCATCATCCCCCCCACCCAATGAAACTAACACACCCAAGCAACCCAGACAAAAACCACCACCATCCCCCACCACACCCAACGAAACTGACACCCAACAAACCCCACTACCCAATGAAACTAACACACCAACCCCAGACAAAACATCCCACCACCGTCCCACCCAGAAACCTAGCCCCCAATGAAACTAACGAACCCAGACAAAAACCACCACCACTATCCCCCCAACACAGACAAAACACCCCACCACCATTCCCCCCAATGAAACAAACACACCCAACTAACCCAGAAATACACCCCACCACATCCCTTGCAAAAACCCAATGAACAAAGTAACAAACCACACTAACCAAAACAAAAACCACCACCAGTATGTCCCCAAACAAACCCAGCCACCTAACAAAACAAAAGCACCCAACCAACTCAGACAAAAGCCACCACCACCATCCCCTCCCTGAAAACCCCAACCAATCAACCCAAACGAAAACCACCACCAGCATCCTCCCAAACAAACCCAACAAATACTACCACCAAAAACCCAGTACAGAACAATAAAATCAACCCCCTCCCCACCATCCCTTCTCTTTATTTATAAAAGGTCCTTTATTTAAGTCTACTTCATTTTGAAACTTATTAATGAGTGAATTAAAATAACACCTGTGTATAATGCAGCCCCACATGTTGAAGTTATACTTTCAATTTCCCCAAACATGGGGCCATATTTTGGTCTCTTACACCAGTGAGATTGATAATCAAATTGATGGAGTTGCTGTGGATTTACACTGGTGTAATTGATTTCTGAATATGCACAGGACTGGGTTCATATGAGTGACTAGAGTTATGTCCAACAGTATGATGTGCATTTTATGTGTAAACAGAAAATTAATTTCTCTGCAAAATGTTTAATTCAGACCTGCCAACTATGAAATCTGAAAAGCTGCACCCAAACAGTTTTCACATAATAAAAAGTACAATGTTCTGAATCCTTGGAATTGAAATATCCCTTCAAAGATTTCCCCGTTTTTAAATAATTGGAAGCACTGGTGCATGATTATTGAATCTAACTGGAACATCTGGCTGGCAACTTTTTATTAGCACAGTTCTGTAGATGTTTTTGAATGAAAAGGTATGTATTATATTTCATGGGTCTAATGCTGCAAAACCTTGTTTTCAGGAGTGATCCTTACTCACGTAGTCCCATTGCAGTCAATGGGGGTTGAAGGATCACGTCTTGTAAGTGTAAGATACTAATGTGCTTTCATCGGAAATTCTCTGCCCAATGCCCATCTCAAATAACTGGGATTCAGTTGCAGAGATCTATGGAGGTAAGAATAAGGAATCCTCCAGTTTAGCTGCTACTCCATCTTAAATGGCCCTTGAATCCCTCCCTGCATGGGTATAGACTCTTTTTAAAATCTTTTTAAAATGATCAAATATATCTTTGTAGGGAATCCTACAAATGGAATTAATGTGATAGTAAGTGAGAAGCAGATTTAATTGCAGAAGCATAATTTATGCCCAGCATTACAGTTTAAAATACACACCCTTTTAGAGGTAACATTTTCTGTGTCACTACATAGTTCAAGCCCCCAATTTTAGGTTTTTAATCTAGACAAATAAAAACAAAAGAACTACCTTCCTGATTACTTTTTAAATCATATTGAAAACAGCTTTTAAAAATGTTTACACTCCCCGGCTACTCAGTGATATATGTGCCATTCCACAGTATTGTAGTTACACCTGAAAACCAGGAACTGTCCACAAACTAGGACCCCAACCCTGCAAATGCTTGCCCGTGTGCAATGGGGCATACAAACCCCACACCAGGCAGAAAAGGGTTAAAGAGCAACTAAGAGTTTAGGCAGCCCTGCACCTGCACAGCATGTCAGGCTTGGAGGAGGAGCCTTACAAGGAAACCCCCCCCCCCTTCAGTGGGAAGGAGAATACATCTCTCATTCCCCAAAGAAAGAGTGTGGTTAAGGACAAAGAGTGTTTGTAGCTAGCAGGAGTTTTCATAGATTCATAGATTCATAGATTCTAGGACTGGAAGGGACCTCGAGAGGTCATCGAGTCCAGTCCCCTGCCCGCATGGCAGGACCAAATACTGTCTAGACCATCCCTGATAGACATTTATCTAACCTACTCTTAAATATCTCCAGAGATGGAGATTCCACAACCTCCCTAGGCAATTTATTCCAGTGTTTAACCACCCTGACAGTTAGGAACTTTTTCCTAATGTCCAACCTAGACCTCCCTTGCTGCAGTTTAAGCCCATTGCTTCTTGTTCTATCCTCAGAGGCTAAGGTGAACAAGTTTTCTCCCTCTTCCTTATGACACCCTTTTAGATACCTGAAAACTGCTATCATGTCCCCTCTCAGTCTTCTCTTTTCCAAACTAAACAAACCCAATTCTTTCAGCCTTGCTTCATAGGTCATGTTCTCAAGACCTTTAATCATTCTTGTTGCTCTTCTCTGGACCCTTTCCAATTTCTCCACATCTTTCTTGAAATGCGGTGCCCAGAACTGGACACAATACTCCAGCTGAGGCCTAACCAGAGCAGAGTAGAGCGGAAGAATGACTTCTCGTGTCTTGCTCACAACACACCTGTTAATACATCCCAGAATCACGTTTGCTTTTTTTGCAACAGCATCACACTGTTGACTCATATTTAGCTTGTGGTCCACTATAACCCCTAGATCCCTTTCTGCCGTACTCCTTCCTAGACAGTCTCTTCCCATTCTGTATGTGTGAAACTGATTTTTTCTTCCTAAGTGGAGCACTTTGCATTTGTCTTTGTTAAACTTCATCCTGCTTAACTCAGACCATTTCTCCAATTTGTCCAGATCATTTTGAATTATGACCCTGTCCTCCAAAGCAGTTGCAATCCCTCCCAGTTTGGTATCATCCGCAAACTTAATAATCGTACTTTCTATACCAATATCTAAGTCGTTAATGAAGATATTGAACAGAGCCGGTCCCAAAACAGACCCCTGCGGAACCCCACTCGTTATGCCTTTCCAGCAGGATTGGGAACCATTAATAACAACTCTCTGAGTACGGTTATCCAGCCAGTTATGCACCCACCTTATAGTAGCCCCATCTAAATTGTATTTGCCTAGTTTGTCAATAAGAATATCGTGCGAGACCGTATCAAATGCCTTACTAAAGTCTAGGTATACCACATCCACAGCTTCTCCCTTATCCACAAGACTCGTTATCCTATCGAAGAAAGCTATCAGATTGGTTTGACATGATTTGTTCTTTACAAATCCATGCTGGCTGTTCCCTATCACCTTACCACCTTCCAAGTGTTTGCAGATGATTTCCTTAATTACTTGCTCCATTATCTTCCCTGGCACAGAAGTTAAACTAACTGGTCTGTAGTTTCCTGGGTTGTTTTTATTTCCCTTTTTATAGATGGGCACTATATTTGCCCTTTTCCAGTCTTCTGGAATCTCTCCCGTCTCCCATGATTTTCCAAAGATAATAGCTAGAGGCTCAGATACCTCCTCTATTAGCTCCTTGAGTATTCTAGGATGCATTTCATCAGGCCCTGGTGACTTGCAGGCATCTAACTTTTCTAAGTGATTTTTAACTTGTTCTTTTTTTATTTTATCTGCTAAACCTACCCCCTTCCCATTAGCATTCACTAGGATAGGCATTCCTTCAGACTTCTCGGTGAAGACCGAAACAAAGAAGTCATTAAGCATCTCTGCCATTTCCAAGTTTCCTGTTACTGTTTCTCCCTCTTCACTAAGCAGTGGGCCTACCCTGTCTTTGGTCTTCCTCTTGCTTCTAATGTATTGATAAAAAGTCTTCTTGTTCCCCTTTATTCCCTTAGCTAGTTTGAGCTCATTTTGTGCCTTTGCCTTTCTAATCTTGCCCCTGCATTCCTGTGTTGTTTGCCTATATTCATCCTTTGTAATCTGTCCTAGTTTCCATTTTTTATATGACTCCTTTTTATTTTTTAGATCATGCAAGATCTCGTGGTTAAGCCAAGGTGGTCTTTTGCCACATTTTCTATCTTTCCTAACCAGCGGAATAGCTTGCTTTTGGGCCCTTAATAGTGTCCCTTTGAAAAACTGCCAGCTCTCCTCAGTTGTTTTTCCCCTCAGTCTTGATTCCCATGGGACCTTACCTATCAGCTCTCTGAGCTTACCAAAATCCGCCTTCCTGAAATCCATTGTCTCTATTTTGCTGTTCTCCCTTCTACCCTTCCTTAGAATTGCAAACTCTATGATTTCATGATCACTTTCACCCAAGCTGCCTTCTACTTTCAAATTCTCAACGAGTTCCTCCCTATTTGTTAAAATCAAGTCTAGAACAGCTTCACCCCTAGTAGCTTTTTCAACCTTCTGAAATAAAAAGTTGTCTGCAATGCAGTCCAAGAATTTGTTGGATAG